TGAAGCCGAGGAGCTGGAACGCCATGTTGTCACTCGTAGCGTTTGTGCTAAATAATGCAGTGCGTTCATCTACCGGCTACACGCCGTTCTACGTGAACGGGCTGATTCATCCTCGCGTTCCGCTGACGCCGCCATCCCATGGCTCAGGACTTGGTGGGGAAGAATAGCCGAACGGCTAGCTGATGTCCGCCCCCTCACCATCCGTAAAGAAGTCGGTGATTGTTCGTCTACCAGACTGATTGTCCTACGACACATTTGCGATGCGATAGCTGAAAGCCAGGACCTGCAAAAAGAATATGTTGATGAAAAAGGAAGAGGCAACGTGGAAAGCTTTAAGGTCGGGGACCTGGTTCGATTATATAAAAAATCCTGATACACATGCAGATTCTGCTATTTTCCGGACGAAGCTTCGTCCACGGTTTATCGGACCGTTGAAGGTTGCACTCGCTTACCCTTCCGAAACAGATGCGCAACCACCCGGTGTTTTACGTGGGCTTGCTCAAGCCGTACCGGGATCCGGCGCTAGTGAACGCGGAAGTGTTGTCGCCGGAGCGGACCCCACGGGCCCGCGGCCACCCAGAAGTTGAACCAGCAACTGGTTCTGAGCACGGAGTGCAACTACCTCCATTTCCAATAGAGCCAACCGCTCCACCGTTGCCTGCAGCGATGCATTCGCGTGCTTCACGGCTAGGAGTCGCTCTGATAAAGAGCGGTAGTCTTCGAGGCGAGGCAGCCGGCGCACGACGTGCTTCAAATCGTCAAGAGCGTCCGCACAGCGATATGCTACTTCAGCATGACGCTCAGCGGAGCTCCGATTACGAAAGACCTTGTCCTCAAGGACTCCAAGAGCATCACGAGTCACCGGATGGCGGTCGACCCGGTCGTCATTGCCCGCCACCGACTCTTCCTGATGAGACGGTGAAAATCCACTATCACGTGAAACGTCTTGTTGGACAACGTCGTCACCAGGGTCGAACTCAATATCTGATGAAGTGGCGGGGATCTCCCGACTCCAAAAACTTGTGGGAGTTTGAGGCGCCACTTCAGCAAGATTGCCCAGTCGCCGTGGACGCTTTTGAT